ATTTCGAGTTCACCTAATCTCTCCAAGATCATATTCATTAATTAGAGGTAGTTTAGTAGTTTAGCTGTGCGTAGATAGATCAATCAGTCACCGCGTAGAAGCGTTTATATATTTTTAAGGATCAGAACTTGTGATATTGTGCTTGTTAACTGCATGGAGATTCTGAAACTAACTCAAAACGACAAATAAAGCAACACATTTGGAGCTCTGCTAAGTAATAAATACTGCTACAGGCTCACTCGCTAATAGTCTAACAGTCGGCTTAGATATTCATGGCCAATGTCTAAACTAATATGTAATACCACGTATACCGTTTTATTTAATAGGCTAGTTGATTTTTTAATTTTATAAATAGATAGTCCCTTAATTTCTGAGGAATTATGTAACAGCATGTCTGCGATTAATAGTTTCGTAGATATGATGGTGCTATGTTTGAAGAACTGCTACCAGTCAGCTGAAAACACTCCCTACAAATTCAAGCCACGAAATGACGTCACTTCTTGACACGGTAGTGAAAAACGTATGGGTGTCAGTGCAATCTTTGCAAAATCTTTGTTATTTGTATGGTTGTGTTTATAATTATAGCCCGAGTCTGATAATGGACCTTGGTACAACAAACACGCTATTATAAGTTACGAATTGTTTATTAAAACTAATATACAATTATAATTACTAATTAGTAATCTTTGCAAAACAATTCACACAAGCTTGAAAAATATTATCTGAATTCTTTACATGGCGGCTATAAGACATCACCATAAACAATAAACTAGATAAACAAATAGATTAGAGACTGCTCGCCCAGATCTAGTTAGATACGGACGTAGTGCTTCATAATTGTTATAATGAAAGTTGTTACGTTTTATATAGTTAATTCAATGCTATATATGTCAAAGCGTAATATTATCCAAATTAGTGTAATTAAATTTATTATGTTATTTTTTATAGTATTGTTTAAAATTCCAACTAATCTTTTTATGTAAGCATTTTTCATTAAGAATATGTTTCAGTATAGCATTGTAAATGCGAAATTTATAAAATATAATATATTTTTATAAACTAAAATAGTTCATATTTTCCGTATTCTCAATTCAATCTATTCTCTTTTTTAAAAATTTAATAATTGTTCTCTGACATTAAATTAAAACAACTTATCTAAACTATTTCTTAAAATAATAACTAAACAAAATTAAAAATGTCTCCCAGATCATTGCCTACAGGTAAGGTACCCATAAGGCTGCGAGCGTTACCTCTTTGAATAGCTAAACTAATTATATGGGCGAGGTACAAACCAGCCTTCTGATCACCTGACCTGTCAAAAAGTTTCTTTTTTAACTCTTGATAAAGACGATGCGCTCCAGGGCCCCACGGACCCATCGTTTCGACCCCAAACGGCTCAAATATGTAGGTATTACTTATACCTGAATATTTTCGCCGTTTGAGGCTTTCTGCAGCAGCGGCGGCTACACCCGCCTCAAGACATGTTCGTGGAAGATGAGTTGGCGCCAAAGTATCAACGCAGGTGGCATCCCATACTAGGGGTCGACCCATCCTCCAAGGTACCAAAGACATCCCATCAGGTCTCTTACCGTCGTCGCAAGCCAGCCCGTTCGGTTCTAAAATGGCTGGCACTGACGCCGTAGCAAGAGCTCGACGGATGACATCATTGATACTTGCATGTCGAGAGATACGACCAGCACTTCTGCTACAAGATAATGCTATATGCTATTTCTAAAAAGCATAGTAATACATAATAGACTTAAAATGAGTAACATTTAGATTAAAAAAATGTACCTGTGAGACATTGTAACTCGAAATAACAAGAATTTGAAATAATGAGACATCATAAACTACAGGCATTTCTTAAAATAAAAGATAAAAGAGTTTCAGGATTTTAGTAAATAACATTTAATACTTTCGTACCTTTTGTTAATACTCAGAAGGTCAGTAGTTATAATAATATCCTTTTGTTTATAAAAAGGTTCAGGTAGGCAGGTTAAATAAATCCCACGTGTATGTATTTAGATCAAAACAGGAAATATTATTTTAGCTGTACTATATTGGAAAATGTTCATTTCCGTATTTAATTTTAACAATTTAGGGAAAATTGTTTGAGAGATAATCATAAGATATTTTTTCGGCTCATTAGGTAACTTTGAAATTCTTATTAAAAAAAATTGTAATCTATGAGGCGAGTGGGGGACCACTGGAATGAGAATTTTGTTTAGACAAACCAACTTTCTTTCTTTTTATTATTTATTGGTTTTGATTTTGATAGTCGCGTATTTTATTCCTTTAAGTAAGCAGGTAATTGTGTATAAAATTTCAAATGTACTCATATACTTACTTTAACCTTTAAGAGACTTTTATTACTGCTATAACTAAAGGAAAATATGTCTTCCTGTCCATCTAGTATCATTTGGGATAATGTTACGTTATAGCGTATCATTAATAATATTAAATAACATAACATACCCTGCCAATATAAATTCCAAGATGAGAAACTAAAGCCCCCGTATTATGGGGTATCAGAGATAACGAAGGTACTACAACACCCTATTTCAAAAGTTAGGACTGAATAAAAAAAAAAACTCTCAAATATATGTAGGATATGCCCTACGTTAACCCTTAACAATATACACTCCCTTTTCTGGGTATTCTTGTAAAATAAAATAAGCCTACATGTGTTTGTCATTCAATAAAATAGCAAAACATTTATTATTTCCCTTATCGCGTTTTCAATCAATTTTTTTCTATAAATAAATTTCATCTTTCGGAATAGATTGTGTACGTATTGATATGATATATTACATGAAGACAACACGTTCCAAGCTTAATCATAACAAATCCTACGATACGAATCGCATTATATCTATCTCGCTCTAGAATTACTTCCTACCACTATAGTGTGTAATAATAACACCACGAGAGGAAAGGGGGCACAAAAAATTTGGGTTAAACTTTATCAAAAACTGCATTGAAATATAAAAGGTCAGACAGAGGTTTGATTTTGATTTATATACAAATAATTTGGATATATTTTATTTGTTAATATATCTAAAATATTATACAAAAGTTTTTATATGAATCGGAATAAATATTATAAATTTATACGATATAAATTTTACGTAGTAAATGTGTATCTGTGATATTAATTAATTTGTCTTGAATAAACTGATAAAAACTAACAATTAATAAATAAATAATTTTGACAATTTGTATTGCGTTCGTTACTTTACTATATGAGTAAATCAATATAAATTTGCAGTTTTTTTATTATATTCATTAGCTTTTTTTTATTATATTCAAAGTTGCAAAATCAAACTTACTTGGTAAATGAATTACTATAAAGGTAACAAATATTTATTTTTATTTTACTGGATATTGAGATTAGCATTTACTACAATATGTTCATATAACAAAAGATCGATACATATATTGTAAATACATTCCAAACTCAAAACTAATTATATCAGTAAAAAATCGTACATTTTCTATGTATACTTTTATATGGTAATAAAAAACGACTGTTGATCAATATATAGTTCTACTACTGGGTAAGGCATGCAATCGGTAAATATCGATATCGATGTGCAGTGAAGACGGTTATGTCGTCGATTGCGGATTTTCCAACAAGTTTAAATGAACCATTACCAACAGTTTTACAAATACCGATATTACGATATAGACAACAAGAAAACGTATAAAAGATCATTTGTATATTCAACTATTTTATGTTTTACTGGACATCGGACTTTTCATATACCAAAAGACTGTGTATCGTATATACATAATTTGCCTTCTTTGTTTTCGTATTAAAATGTTAATATACATTTTAAACTTCTAAGCAATTATAGTCATAGATAAATCTAAAGTATTCTATGTATATATTTCTATGAAAATAGAAGTTAACTGTTGATCGATGCATAGCCCTACTACCGAGTAGGGCACGTAATCGGTAACCGGTAAATATCGGTACCGATATTACCAGAGATTATTTTGCATTTAAATTACCGCTACTTTTGATAAATAAAAAAATTGAATAAATTCATTTGAATGGAACATTTTGTTTAATATATCAAATGCTTATATTATATAAACTTTCGAGTTATTTACTAACATATAATAACATTCACCTAAGTTTGATACTTACCATGAAATTTAAGATCAAAAACCTTTACTTCATATGAAAAGTAAATACGTAGGTATTTTCTTCAGATTAATATTTCGTCTAATAAATTTGGTAATAAAGAAACAGAAGTCTCGTCACATTCACACATTTTATGATTTGTACCTTTATAAAAGCTCTAGAATCGGTATTATTTTGAGATATAAAATTAATAAGGTTATTCTGTATAATTATACTGAAGCTGTCGATTACGTTTCCCATATAATTGCAATATTGTTATTGACATGACTTTAGCATTTATGTTTTTAAATAAATGCTAAAGTTTGAATAAGCCCGAATTTATTTATGATATACAAAATAAAAAATTGCCTTTTTATTTAGCGATATAAAATGAACTTATATTTCATCAATTTTGTATTCACGATTCTATATTGATATTTATCTTAAACAAAAATTGCTGTTTTAGTTAATACTTTAACTCTTATAAATATTTGCATTTAAATAAAGGTTATCTACAATTTTGATACTACCTATAATATTATTTTATTATGTGTTATAAATAGTACATGCTTTATTGAAAATAATTTTCTGGGGCCAATGGTATTCATTTATTCTGTTCGATTTTTTTTTCAAAATATATCAAAATAATTCACTGCACATTTACCTTTGCTACGGTTCCATCCCTTTTTTGTTACCGTATGATAACTGCACCTTAAGCCTGAAATCAGGGTTTTCCAACCATTGGATCTGCCCCGATAGACGCATAGTCAAAGTGCGGTGGGCCACCTGATAAAGTCTTAGTATTCTTTTGTAATCATCGTGACAACGTAAAAACACATTAGAATTAACATGAGTTTTAATTTTTTTACAGTTCCAAGAACGTGACGGTAGCAGTATGTCATCACTCCCCAGTATTGCACAATCACCGGCTTCAAGCGAGCCATCCACTTCGACAGCCTCGACCAGCGCTACGGCCAGCAATAGCTTCAACAAACCAGACGAGTCAGTCGTCACGTCTCGTTTCATTTCTGATATTCTCCATACAAGGGAGAATATATCTCCTACCGAATCCATGTATTCGGAAGAGTGCATTGCTGATGATATCGAACTGCCTTCAATGAGTGGTATGCCTAATCCCCTGGGCGCCATTGGTTGTGAATTTGCTAGGATCAGAAAGAATAAGAGTAAGCAACAGAGGACATACAAAACAGACAATGTGAGCGGTTTACCGAGCAGGTCATACTTAGTAACCATGACCTGTTTCGGATGCAATAAAAGCTCGCCAACGACGCCTTGCCTACAATGTAGAAACCTTTTTTGCAATGACTGCTGCTATAATCCTATATCGGTATGTCAAATGAGAAAACACGCGCTCCACCCTATAGATCCGTCGTTTATCGGTATGATACCAAGTCCTAAAAACAGTGATAAAGACGACGTGTACTGTGAACTCCACGAAGATGCTTTGCAATTTCATTTCAAAGAGTGCAGTGTTTTCATTTGCCATAAATGCACTCTGTGGGATCATAAAGACCATGACTACATTCCAGTAAACGGTGTTTTCGATAAACTTACTCGTTTAGATATGATGGATGTTATAAAAGACGTTATAAACAGTACGAGTACAATTAAAACTGAAATCGATCGCGTGACAGCAATGTCAAAAGCTTATGCTAAAGAATCTGCGGAAGCAGAAAATAAAATCAGAACAGCTATGCAGTATTTGGCTAAGGCTGTTGAAGACCATGAAAAGTACCTTTTGGATAAGGTTGCAAATATGCGTCAGACGAGGATGAAGGAATTATCTCGTCATATAAATAAATTGAACGGTATGCTTGAAGGTTTATCTCGTTCAAACGACTCATTAATGCGAAATATAGATGCACAAGGAGTGGAGTTATTTATAGTCAAAGAAAATAGTAGAGCTCTGGTGGATCATATTTCATCTACATTCGAAAATATGAATGTGAATGAGGAGAAAATTGGCTTTATTCCACCCAATCATTATTTAATAGAACAATTAAAACGTGAGTGCGATGTACAGCCAATTTCTCCGAGTAGCAATATATTACTTAATTACTCTTTAAATCACCCTCGCCAGTCTTGCAGATGCAGTATTTGCAAACAGCTCAATAGTTTACCTCTTTCGAATCACAATGTGGTCACAGTTAGCGGCATGAACTCACAACCACGTTTTTATTCGAATATAAGGTCTGCCAATAGTCATTACGACTACCCTACTAACTATTCGCTATCGTCTGTTATAAATAATGTTTCTCACTTAAGTCGTAAAGGTTCTGGAATCGGTACATCGGGTATTGTGACCGAACGCTATTGTCCGAATTTTTAGAAAATCAGTAAAATTAAACCATTTTATGGAATTTAAACAATCACGTGTATTAAATGTAATCTTTCAATTGACATTCATCTTGATTGACATGTAACTTAACAACGAACAATATGTGCAATAAATTTACAAAGTGCATTTTATAAGTTTAGTAAAATAAACGTAGATAAAAATCAAATAAAAGGCAATGCAAAAAAGTTATAGTATTTTTAACCAACTTCAAAGTCGAAAAGAGGGATTTTATATGTTCGATGGCGATGTATGAATTTTTTGTTTTCTGTGTACTTTGTACTTTTAACTTTAATAATGTTAAATCAATTAATATGTAAATATGAATCCATAAAACGTAAAGCGAAAAACCAGAGTTAGCAGAGTGCTTGGTTCAGAGAAACCAAAATAAATCGGATAAACACAATTTCCTTCTTCAGAACTGATATTGCTGGATTAAATATGAAACTTTGTATCTTCTTTATGGAATACCATTGAAGCGTAATCATTATGTATTTTTATACATATTATATTATTTGTAAAGACCTTTCGACCTTTTGTAAACTAGTTGTATTTTGAAATTAAATAGTAAGTTTTTTACAAGTTTGAATTCTTAGCATAGAATCAATATTGATTAAAATTAGTTGTTTACTACATCACTTTTAGTTAAAAGTGGGATAAATGGTGAACTCTACAGGTTATATTATCGTACATTTCATATTTTTATATTAGATTCAAAAAATCACCATAACTCTTATTTCGACAACATGCATACTGTCCATAATGGTCTTGAAAAGTCAAGTTATCGATGATAAAGGTAGATCGAGTGATGTATTTCTAAGTTTGGTGGCCTTTGGGAATCGACTAGCTCAAATAGGTTCGGCTAATTCTTTAGAAATATGGTTGTTTTATTTATTCTATTTCGTAAAAACTTGATATTTTTAAATTTAACTTTAAATGTTATTTTATTTTTATTTTACTATATTTTCTTTTATAATATAACTTCGCGCTTGTGTTGTGTTAAATAGTATTGATCTATTAAAATTATAAAAATTGACATAATACCAGGGTGTCAAAGAGAGATGGATACGATAAATGTGTAAGAATGTCACGTGTAACTGGTAGTTCTAGTATTATTGTACTCAGTCCTCCGAGGCTGTGGCGGCGCTGGCGATGGATATGATGCTGTCGTCGCCATCGCTTACGTTGCCTTATGATTATAGTGTTCACGTTATTATAACCGCATCTACCTCATTCGTAATGTATTTAAGACTGATTAGAATTTATGTAATGGTAGGTAGTCAGATCACCAATAAGAAGTCTTTTGTCTACTAACGATTTTAATTTTCCTTCTCTCATTTATTATAAGTCTCTCATTTATTTAAGTGTTTGTGTATATATGGTGCTATTGTTATTATTATTATTATTGTGATATTATTATTATTGTGCTATTATTATTTTACGTTATTAAAAGTTTGTTATAACTTTGTGTGACAACATTAATTAAGTGATTACTACACACTTTTATCAATGTTAAATGTGTTTAGGTTTAAGTTGTGGTCTTAAGATATCATGAAAGTTTTGAAATTTTAAGAATCTATGAAAATGAACTAAGTGAAAAATAGCAAATAGTTATTTTATTTTTAAACACACTTTGCTCCTTGAGCAAAGGAATTGTTGGGTTTTTACCCTTTTGCATTGTTGTGGCGCACACGTTAAAGCGGATTTTTTTTATTGTAATAGAATTTTATAATGCATATGTGTTATTTTAATAATGCAAATAAATGAATTATCTATCTATCTATGGCCTTACCGTTAACCTGTAACGGTGTGCCATGCCACCGTTTGTTTTCCTAGGTTTCAGTATGCAAACTTTTTGTTTTTGAAATTCAACATCATTTCATTTTATTATTCGTCTTTCGTAATTTAAAATTTTGACTAATCAATTATACTCTTTATGGATGTCAGTTCGTAAGAAATTCTCCTATGCACAAGATGAAATTATAATACAATACAATATTAATGGTATAAATTTTACTATGTAATTTTAAAATAATTCATTTATTGTGATAAATAATGTGATATGGTGATACAAATTATATAACATATGTAACTACTAAATTGTAATCTGTATTTTGGACGATCCAAAAGTTAACTAGAAGCCCGACAAGGGGTATGTATTCGTTTATTTGATAAGTATGTATTAGTTAAGTAACTGACGAACTGTTTTTATAAATTTATTTTTGTTTGTTACAGTTTTTCCTATTACCCTTATTTAACTAATAAATATATATTCAAGCTAAGCAGCCTTATTAATTGACCCAAGCACCGAACCCGTAACAAACCTTAATAAATCGCAAGCTATCATCATCGGAGGCGAGAGGCAGATTGCAAAGCCCAATCATATGATCATTCCGCCTCTTACCTTAAGTAGGGTCACTCTATCCCCTAGTAGTGTAGTAAAAAACTTGGGCGTTTTATTCGATTCTTCCCTTTCCTAGTCTCCGCACATTGCTGAGGTGAGCTAAAAGATGTTTGCCACAGGGACACTTAGAAGATGAAAAAATCTGCTTCCTTTGAAAACTAAAATTGAGATGGCGCAATCTTTACTTATGATAATTTTGGACTACGCTGATGTCTGTCTCATTGATCTGAGTGAGGACATGCTCAACAAACTTCACTGTCTATAAAATCATGGCATTAGGTTTATATACGGTTTGCGAAAATTTGAACACACAACTGAATTTAGACGTAGGCTTGAGTGGCTCCCCATAAGACAGCGTCGTGAAGAGCATGTTCTCACTTTCCTGTGTAAAATCCTTTATGATCCTCGTAGTCCTTCTTACCTTAGGGAACGTTTCCAATATCTGGTCGCAAATCGTAGCAGCAAGCTGCGTACTAGGACGGATAATATGCTAGAGATTCCTTATACTATATCGGGATACTACCATGAGTCCTTTACCATTAAAGCTACTGGGCTCTGTTGCCATTTTCAAATCTAAATTGCATGAGCATCTTATTAGCATTAGCTATGTACTTATTATCGTGTATTTCACAAATTTGTCCATTTTACCTTCATACTACTTTATTTATTTACTTTACTATATTATTATATGGCTTTCATCTCTACTATTGGCACACTACCTCCGTTCTTTCTCTCTAAATGTTATACGAATCAAAGGTTATCTGGAAGAGACCGCTCTAAGCGATAAGGCCTTTGCCCACCCTAGCATATTTTTAAGTACCAATATTGTTAACTTAATGTTAATAATTAAGTGTCAATTATTATTATTATTAAGTAGTTGATGAGCAGTTTCGCATTGATTCTATTATATAGTAAAGTTCCAAGAAAAATCTTTATTTTTCTTGGAACTTTACTATTAACAAATATATAATATATATGTAGATAACAACACACACCCACAGGCACAACACATAATACAATACACACACTCACAACACAATACACACATTCACAACACAATACTCACCCACGAAATCATTTATTCATTAATTTTGGTTCTTGTTAACATTAAAATATGTACTTGCCACAAAGCTGGAGCGAAATGGTCCCAATACAAGTATTTTATATTACTTACTGGGATAATTTCAAGATTGTAAATGATGGAAATAATGTTATTAAAGAACATTTTTATTATTTATTATTTTTTATTATAAAAGACACAAGCCATCACTTGCTTTCTTCTTTAGATGCTTTAATCTAAAGAAGAAATCAAGTTCAGTTTGTGTATTTTGGATGCAAACGATAACTTTCCGTCTTTTGTTAGTCAAATCAGTGCTAAAAGGGAACATGGTGTTTTGTTAAAAGATTGTACTCAAAATAAATAATTGTCTAACTATTAACACCTTATAAAATTTATTTCTATTCTTTTTTCCTTTATCTTAAAATTATATGACTTGATAAAAAGCAACATTAAATTCCTAATTCCAGTTACAATATTATACGTAAGCGTTGTCGATATGAGAGCATTATAATAATAATAATGCTATATTGTATCAATTCAAAGGAATCGGCTTTGAACAAATTTCATACAATTCTAACTTATATTAATATACAACTTGTCTGTAACTGTACAGAAGGTGAAATTTGGAGGCGCGACAAATTTCCACCAATCAGAATGATTCAAGTAACGGCTATCGGGAGATCCGCACGCCTGCCTGACCCCGCCCATTGTGAGAATTAAATTTTTCACCTTATAGCTATTACAATAGGACTCATTGTAAATTTTAATGGTATATTCGCTCTTCGTTGGAATTGGTCTGCTCTGCGCCAAATGAAAATTCATAGATATTTAAATATGCATATGCATAGATATTTAAATATGTACATACATATTCATATTACTTATTAGGAACTGGCCGTGATTTTTGTTAATGTTATCATTTTTGTAGTTTCCGTCCGAATATTCGGATTCGGTCGAGTTTCAGCTTAAAAATGAGTTTCGGTTTAGTTTCGATTTCAGTGGCCAACTTGCCGATACTACGACCGACACCGAATATCCATTCGGTATCGGTCGATGTATCGGCATCTTTAAACTATAGTAGAAAGTTTTCAACATATCTTAAGATTATTGAATACCTACTAACTACTAAGTAAGTAATGACGATTTCAGATACCCAATTGCAATTAGTAGGTTTACTCAATTATGCGGATGTTGTGATTTATTTATATAACAAACTTTATTGACCATTGAATTGCTGCAAAAGGCGTACTTGATGCTAATAGAATGATCTACTAGTCAACCTTTGGGAAACAGAAAAACATGATGGCGGCATAAAGTTAACTAATAAATATACTACTTAAACTATACTGCAAATGAATTTTTATATAATTATATATTAACATACCTATAAACATAATTTAATATTATACCTACACATAAACACAAATACAAATCCATAAGTATAATATATATACGATGACGATCTTCATAAACGTTCTAAGAGAAAAGTGTGAGCCTTCCGTTTAAAGATGAATTTGTTAGAAGATCGTTTGAGGGTGTCGGGGAGGTCATTCCACAGTCGTATGGCCCTCGACTTTTTTCCAGACTGCTGTAGATTTTGCTTTCGCGTGCCTTCCTGTGCTCATTTTTCACCATATATGAACTTTACTAACATGCTCCGGATGGAATATTGTAAGCAATTATATCTTGCTTGTCTCATTGAGATAAGAGGAAGCATAAGCATATAGCTTGAAAGCGTTAGTTGGAACAAACTGGGGAATGCATCCTAAACATCTCAGATGGTTGTACCTCTCTCTTATAAGGAGTAGAATGACTATGGTTGTTTTTGTACAATAATAGTGCTAAAACACAAGTTAATAAATTGGAAAAATATCCAAAATCAAGCATTAAGGGTGATTGTCGGATTGATTAAAACAGCTTCAATTCATATTATGGAAAGTGAAATTTGTATATCTCCCTAACAAATTAGAAGGCAATATTTATCAGTAAAGTTTTGTATTAAAAGCAAAGCTTTAGCAAACAATATAATGATAAAATTATTAGAAGAATTCAGTTCTTCTTGTAACCATAGGAGGTATTGGAAAAATTAAAAGAAACCTTTATTGATACACATAATTTTTAGATACGAAAGAAGAAAAATATACTCTTCTCAACCATTAGAAATATTTACATTGAATGAATGGTCTACCAAAATAGAAATAAAAAATATGATTATGGATAAGATAGACAGTATAACCGAAGCGCAAGTATTATACCAAAATCATATTTTAAATAAGTTTTAATAGAAATACATCAAAAAATGCTTCAAAAAGTTCTGAGGGATTGGAAGCAGCTTTTTATGACCCACTCACAGAATATTACGAATGTTATAACATAGTATCCAAAGTATCTATAATGACTTTCGAATTATTTGCCATTTCAGAAGCCCTAACATTTATCAAAAAAATAGGATGCATAAAAGTGGCTATTTTATGTGACAGTAAGTTTGCCCTTCGACATATTAATCGACGTGCTTTGGGTCAAACATCTGCTACTATTGAAGTAAGTATTTTAAATAAAATCAATCAATTAAAGGAACTCAACATTTTAATAACATTACAATGGATCCCGTCACATATTGTGTTAATAGGTACTGAAAAGGCGGACCATTTGGCAAAATCTGCTATATCTGATTGATCTCAAATTTTCATCCTACCTGTATATTCTGAGGTTTTAAGTAAATTCAAAAACAT